TTTTTTTTTTTTTAATTTAGTACAGAGTCTACAAGATCTATAGGGTCTCACTACGCAGATCGGATTCATAGTGCCCAAGTGCTGGGATTATAGGCATGCTCCACCACAGCAGGCCCAGGGATTGAACCCCCAGTACCTGCATCTGCCTAAGAAGGTGGAAGTAAATTAGACATCTTCTTGTACAATTTATTACCCATATTTACTTCATTTGTGAACTGGCCATTCATCTCTTGATCTTTTTTCTGAACTGTTTTGTCACACTGATTTATAACTGCTATTTATCAATTTTTCTATATGTTGAAATATTTATTTTTTAAATTTAGTTCTTAAACTTTGTACCTTATTTTTTTTTCACACAAACTGAAAGTTCTTAAAGTGTTTAATGTTTTATGTAGTCATATCTATGGCATCTATTATTTAACAGTTTCTAGTTGAGGGGTCATAGTTATCAAGTCATTTTTAATATGGATCATTAAAACACTTATCACAACAAGACTTTTAAAATAGCCTTAGAGATGTTATGAAATGAAATTCAAGAAATTTGGAGACAATTATAGTATTCTGCAACCTAAGAACAACCTTACCTCCAACAGTTTCAAATTATCTAAGTCAAGAGTGGGCTCTGAAGCTGCTGCCTCCATCATATTTATACTGTGTAGACCTTGCTTTCGGTCTCCTATGGGAAAAGGAAAAAGAATTTACAAATGTGTGATTTTCTTAAAATGATCTTGATTACTACATTTTTTATTATATTACAGAAGAACTGCTGAAGGAATAAAACTACTGAACTAGTAATCATCTTTGACAATGAATTCTGGAGATGCTTCCACTATGACTTAGTTTAAAGTCATAAGAAATAGTGCAAAAGCTTTAAGAAGATTTTTATTAAAGTTATGCAAATGAATGAATGGGTTCCTAAACAACCCATTAAGTGAATGGTATCTGTGATTTGCTTCAAAATAATTCAGAGCCTGGAACAGGTTAAGGATTCGAGATTTAGATGACACAGTATTGCTGTATGTGATGACTGCTGAAGCTCTTTAACAGGTATTTTATGTAAGTTTGAAACTTTTTCCAAGAAGTAACATGGAAATTTTTGCTGAAGGTAAGAATAGGAGCTATTATAGCCCAGAGATATGTCATGTGGTACTTTTTAGAACTTAGCAGAGATTTTAGAACTTACTTTTTAGAACTTAGCAGAGATTTTTAAAAACAAAATAAAATCTGATTAAATAGCATGTTTCACAAGTCACAGGACAAAGAGTAATACTTTCATAAAATTTTACCTGCTACCATTCTGTATCCAAAGCATAAGGCAACTATCAAAACAGCTAGTACAGAGACTGATGCCAAAGCAATGATTATTGTCTCATCTCGGTTAAATGAATGAGGTGGACCTAAAAGAAAACAAATTTTGAAACACTGTCATCTTTCAAGTAGTTTGTTAAACACAGAGATTACCCTTTAGGTTTTGTTGTTGTTGTTGTTGTTGTTGTTGTGCAGGGTCTCACTACACAGCCCAGACTTGTAGTGATCCTCCTGGATTCTGCCTCCCTAGTGCTGGGATTACAGGCTCATGCCACTACACCCGGACTCCATCGCCGGCTCAGCGTGCCCATGGGCAGGGCCAGCACGGCATGCTGAGCCAGGGATTAAACCATGGCCCCTGTGCTGACCTAAGCAAGAGTTTAGTCCACTGAACTATACCACCGGCCCTGAGACTGCCCTTTAGAAGGCCTATACTCAACAGATAGTAAAATCAGTAATGTTTTTGCATGGAAGGAAAGAAAAAATAAACTTGTGATAATTATAAATTATGCATACATTATTCATATATAGTATCTTTATTTTTTGTATTTTGTGTAGGGTCTCACTATGCAGTTCGAACTCATAGTGATCTTCCTGTTTTCAGTCTCCTCAGTACTAGGATTACAGGTGCGCACCACCATGCCCAGACTTGGTCGCCAGCTCAGGGTGCCTGGGGGTGGGTCCAGCACAGCATGCAGTGCTAGGGATTGAACCCCGACCCCCGTACTTGCATAAGTAGGTGCTTAGTCTGCTAAGCTATCTCACTGGCTCTTCATATATAATATCTTGCACAGACTTAAAACATAAAAAACATGTTAGGTTTGTTACTAATTATTGAAATATCTGTATCTTGGAATTGTATAGACATGATGATATGATGTTTAAAAAGTCTTTAGAATTACATTGGGTTTTAAGTTCTGGAGCTGTAACATCACTCTTCCAGTGAGACTCAGCAAACTGTTTTACTTTGCTGTGTTTGAAGGCCATGGACATAGCTCAGCGGCTGAAGTGCATACCTGGCAAGCACAAGGTCCTGATTTTGATTCCCAATACAAATGCTGCCCCCCCCAAAAAAAAACCTTGAAGTATCTAATACTTTTGAGTTTCTGCTTCTTGATTTGTAAAAATAGTACTCTGTACCTTGTAAGTCAGTTGTGAGGAAGAGATGGAATCCTAAATGCTTAGCAAAGTGGCACATGTACACTAACTACCTATGGAAAAAACAGTAGTTATGCTCACTAATATTGATATCACTAATACTGATATAAAGAACATGGCAGGGCCAGTCAGATAGCTCAGTGGTCTAAAGCACCTGCTTTGGCACAGCGCAGCAGTCAGAGTTCAACCCCCTGCATGCTGTGCTGGCCCCACCTCTGGGGTGCACAGAGACAGGGATTGAGACTGGGTGTGGTGGCACATGCCTATAATCCCAGTGCCTCAGAGGCTGAAAACAGGAGAATCACTATGAGTCCGATTTATGTAGTGAGACTCTGTAGAACCTGTCCTAAATGCATACATACATGCATATATACATAGAACATAGCTTTGTAGGGAGTTAAATCTGAAGCTGACCTAAGGCTCACATCTACTCATTACATGACCTTGGGAAAATTTCTTTACTCTCTGAGCCTAAATTTACTCACTTGCAGAAAAGGATCACATTTATCTACATTATAGGGCTATGGCAAACATGTAAACATTTTACGTGTTAGTTTCATTCCACAGGTTAAATCATACCTAAAACTAATAAATACCCTTTAGGATGGGTAGTTACAAACTTGGGCATATCTAGAAGACAGCAAGTATAACAGTAAAGACATAACAATTTTGAATTGTGATAGATAGGAAACTTTAAAAGTGTCTGTTGGGGCTGGAGAGATGGCTCAGTGGTCTAAAAGCACCTACTTGGAACAAGCTTAGTAAAGCACAGGGACCACGGTTCGATCCCCCAGCACCACATGCCAGCCAGCCCTGCCCCCTGGTGGGCTGAGCTGGCCACACACACACACACACACACACACACACACACACACACAAAATAAATGTAAAAAACAAATAAATAAATAAATAAATTTAAAAGTGTGTTGTAGAAAAAGAGAAAACTTGGGAGGTACAGCTATCTCTATATGGAAAAATGGATCTACTTTCAATAGCTACAGAGAATAACTAGATCAAATCAATGTATCACAATGTATGCTTACCAATAAGTTGTCTAAAATGGGAGTGAATTACCTTGGAAACAGCTATTTTTTATTTACTACAGGCATCCATGTAATGTTTGGCAAGACTGACCAGAATTGAGGCTTTGATGACTGCTAATATCCTTATTTAATCATTCTATTTAGTTAAAATTAAGCATTCTATATTTTTAAATTTTCTTACTTTAGACATTACATGTTCTTTCAAACTAGAAGTTTCTATGGCAAAGAAAGGAGTCCACATTTTATGCCTGTTCTAAATGAAATTTAGGGGGCTGGGGAGATAGCTCAGTAGAATAAGTGCTTGCCTGGCAAGCACAAGGTCCTGAGTTCAGCCCCCAGTTCCAAAGGGGAAAAAAAAACCAAAACAGGGTTTGAACCTTTCTAACTTCTAAATGAAATTTAGCTAACCCAAATTAAACACATTGCATATTAAAATGTCAAAACAATATTTTTAAAGAAGGTATCTACTGAAGTACCAAACTACTCTTAGTTTGTAGAATATTTACTAGCTTTGAATAGATTTCAACATACTGGTAACTATTTTTAACATATATAGTAAGGTATTTTTAACATATACAGTAAGGTATAGACAGAAGAGCTATATATAAAAATTTATCTTGCTACAATGAAGTATGGGAATGGCAGATTTTTCTTTTTTTTTTTTTTT